CTTCAACTAAGTTTGGAAAAATCTAATAAAGTCAGAGATTTTCGTTGGCTATCCAGTAGATTGATAGAAGCAACCGAGTTCATTTGCTGCCTCATGCAATTTTTGTCACTTACTTGTAGATAGTCTGAATTTTCATTTAGTATATTTGTCGTTGTGAACTTCATCAATTATAAATTTGTTTTCTAATTCGTTAAAACTTAAGGTACTTTCTTTTCTGATGGTCACGAATATTTAAAACATTTCATATCACATTACAATTAATTCCAATAAAGAAGAAATTAACACAACTTAAAATACATATACAAAATTCCTGCTAAATCAGAATTCTTAAAAAAATATATTGAAATTGTTGGATGTTAAACAACTTGCAAATGCAAATCCTAATCAAAAGGTAAAATAGAGTGATTCTTTAAAAACAGAATTAGCAATGTAAAGAACCTCTAAATGGTTTAGCTAATGCCTTACAAATCTGAAAATTCAGCGTCTTCGATACTTTTCATCGTATTTCGGTCTTTCGTTCAAAAGCAAATCATTTCTCATTTCTTTTATACGAGTTATAAGATGGAAACCATCAATTTAGAATCCATCGAATTATTTCTTAAATTATGCGTCATTATTTCTAGTTTTGACACCGAAAACCAAATTCACCAAGACGAAAGCGGCTACTGGACCGGAATCGGCCAAGCTGGACCTGACGGTGAAGAACTGGGAATTAATAATGTTCAAGGTCACGCAACCTACGTCTTCCCAGAAGGATCAGGTTTTAGTCTTAGCTACAACGCCGATGGAAACGGATACAGGCCCAAGTTCGTTATCGGTTCCATAGTGGGACGTCACCAACCACCTGCAGTTGGTTTTGGACAAGGTAGTCAACAATTCAGTCAGCAGAGTAGTCAACAATTCAATCAGCAGAGTGGTCAACGATTCAATCAGCAGAGTGGTCAACGATTCAATCAGCAGAGTGGTCAACGATTTAATCAGCAGAGTGGTCAACAATTATTCAGTCAGCTGGGTTGAAAATTTTGACAAGTAGGAGATTTTAGTAGTGGAAAATTGATATTCTACATTACACTCATATTATAAAAATAATAATTATTATATTAATAAATGTGTTGTTTTAATTTTAATAGTTATCCCTGGTTAGCCATTTTGGGAAGTAAAATCATAGAATTACGCGAGTTACACTATTAGAACAAAAATTGTAGTTTGAAATAAACTATACTAAAATGAACATATTAAAAAACATTTTTCATATCAATCTGCGCATTATAAGTTACGCTTATGGCATATAGAATACTTACTTGTATAACTTACTTAAAGACGGACCATGCAAGTTGAGGATTGAATAAAATAGGAATTGCTTTCATCTTTAAATTCGTCTTTCCCGACGGAATTCATAATAAAATCATGATTTATAGAATGTTTTAATATATTTTAGTCTTAATTTTATCAACTTCAACCGTTCCTAATTTTAGGTTTTGAATATATGTATTTCATTTGTTTATTTGAGATTTCAATACGTTTGACGACAGTGAATACGACTAGTATCTTCTTAGATTAAAAAAATGCATTTTTGATAAAAATATTGGTAATTGTGTTTTGAAATATGACTGCTGTATATGTTGAGGCCAAGAGGTAAAAGAAAATTGTTAAGACAAACTGTAAAGAAGAATGAGGTTAACCATGGTCGCTCAACAGACAAGGTTGCTTTTTACGCCCAACCACCAACTCGTACTTGGCCTTTTTTGCAGAAGTATTTTTTATTGGATTTTAATGCATTATTACCATTAAATTTGACAATATTGGTAAACTTAAACGACCGAATTATTATATAATATCTCACAACAAATTATGTATTCATATTTAAGTAGTCATGCCCAAAGTAAGCAGCTGTTTACCAATATTTAACCTTTTGTAACAAGAATTGTCAACTATTAGCCTATACGCGATCTCCGTTAAAATCCTTGTAAATCCTTATAATAACATATCAAAAATGTGAGAAACCAAGATTTTGCAATTTGAAAATCTAGTTGAACAAAAATTTAATGAAATAACAATTCAAAACATATTCTTCTGGCTTATCTTTGACGAAAATTAATATGAACAAAAAAAAAATACTTTTGTTTGACCAAATTTTAGACAAAATTCATGATCTCAAAAAATGTGTGTACACCCTTAGACTTTTCCTTGATGCACGTTCAAATTACTAGCCAAAGACGTATTCAGATATATTTTTAAGAGCCTATGGATTTTTACTACTGGTTATTATCAAGCTTATATTTTTTTTCTGAAGAAAAAATAAAACAATTGAACCTAAAAAACACTCTACTTGATGCGACTAAGATCTCGTATTTGATAATTTTGTTGTTTTCAACACCTCAATTTTATAAAACCAGTAACAAAGATATTGAATTTTCAACACACTCTAAAACCTTATCTGACATATAGCATTCAAAGAGGTATTGGAAAAAATTGTTTGTTTTTATTATCTATCGAATGGCGTAATGAAATTTTAGAAATAAAATTTTTGTTTCCTGCGATAAAACACAGATAATTTGATTATTTTGTAACTTAACCCTCATATTATAATTTTGTTAAAGAGTAATGAAAATAATGAAGACCATACAGAAATTTAGAAAGAATAATAATGTAGGTAGAATGGATATGTAATATATCCGTTCAGTTGAACGCAATGGCATACTTTTTCGTTTTTGCAAGATTCCTTATCTTATATATGTCTCTTTTATAAATGGTACTAGGTACCTGAGGTTGAAGTCGCTTCTATTAGCAGTTAATGTCCAGCTAGATTAGTATTTAGAGTCACTGTGCAATTTTTTATTAATATCCCGTCTCTCTAGCTTGAGGCACAATCTTTAAAATATTTAAACGAAATTGTTTTACGAGGAAACTTTAATAACAGAATAAGTATTTGAGAAGACCAACTAAGCCATTAGTACATATTAACAAGATTAAAATGTTTATTAGTGCAATTTTTATTATTTTTATAATAAATGTACAGTTTATACCAAACAGTCAATCTAATCCTATAGAAGTAGTAACTAAGCTAGAAGATAGCCAATCTAATCCTATAGAAGTAGTAACTAAGCTAGAAGATAGCCAATCTAATCCTATAGAAGTAGTAAATAGAATAGAAGATAATGGATATTATTTTCAGTGAGTACTCATATTCAGTTTATATTTTTTTAAATTACAGGCATCTAGGATTGTAAATTATTAAGGATATTACCAATGCGAATATTTTTATGATTGGTTTCGAGTACCTACTTATAATCGGAGAGCTGATGAATTTGGGGAAGGTATTTTAGGCTATTTTAAATTTTGTCTGGAGGGGCACTTGCTTTAGACATCTTGAAATTATTTAAAGTTTTTATTTTAGTATTGCCTGACACAAATAAAGGTTTTAAATGAGCGCGACAAAATACAGTATTTTATGAAACAAGAGTGGATATGGTTGACACATCGCATAAAAACGAAATTTAAGCACGACGTCGTAGGTGAAGTGTTCAATAGTCTGAGTTCTGGTATATTCGATGGCACATTTTGGCGGATTCACGATAGTTCATTGGCAATTTTCTACATTCTACCCAACTATTAAATTCCTCGTCAAGGTTCTAGTATATTCCGAAACGAATGAATTATTAGAGCAGAACCTGAGTGATCGAAAATGGTTCGCACTACAATATTCAATATTTTTTTATTTTTAGATTTGACACTGGTTATGGTTTAAGATCGGAAAAAGGAGAATTCGAACCCATAGGTGAAAATCAAGTAAACAGCAAAGTTAGTGGATATTATTCTGTTCGTTTTCCCAGCGGTCCACCGCTTCGTGTGACGTTCGTAGCTGATGAAAACGGCTATAGGCCAAAGTTTAGGATTGGCGAAGAAGTGCTTTCTGTCCCAACAAGTGCTATTGCTTCTATAGCTGGAGGGGGATTAGGAAAATAATGTCATGCAAGCAAAAAATCAATATTTGTGATCTAATTATAACTTAATTTATTAAACCTATTTTAATAATTTTGCTTTTAATTTGTGGTTTACATAAACATATATATTTTTGAAAAATATACTTGCATTATAGATAATAAATTCTTTTTTACTTTTTTTCAGGGAAAAAGACAGGAGATTATCATGATGAAATGAACTGGAATAATTTTTCCCAATGGGTTCTTTTTCAGAATGTTGTTTCGAAATCCGAGAACGCCCTAGGTATTAAAAATCATATTTTAACGAAAAAACTAGAGTAATTGTATTAAAACGTACAAAAATCAATCGAAAACCGTTGAATTAATCGTTTTTAGTGTTAAAACGCCAAATACATTCAAAATAATTGTAATTCGTTAAAAAAAAACTACCTGTCAACATTTTTATTATTTTCGTTAATGAATATTTTATTAATATAAAAAGAGGTTGATAAATTTAAAACTACTATATTGTATGTGTTTATAATATTTTATTTAGTCAAGGAAACATCATTGACAAAATATCATCCAAAAATGTAAGAATGAATAATATGATAATTCAATTAAATGTCGAAATACCATATATTACATTATATAATAAATTATATAGACATTTATATATTCACGTCCATAATGAAAAATAGATATTTGCCAATGTTCAACCTTTAAATAGTATAGATACAAGGTGTAACAAAAAACTAAGGCATAAATTATTATGTAGTCAAAAAGTCAGTTAGACTTGCCTATATAAAAGTGCATAATGCATGTATGTAAAAAAGTATTTTTTCTACCCCCACAGTGTTTGTTTAACTCATAAACAAATATTAATAATTTAACTAATTTATTAAATTTTTGTAATATTAAAAAGATAATGTTGAATTATAAGTATTTTGAATAAAGAATTGTGTGATTTCCGGGATAATTTAATTTGACAACTAATATACATAAGGTCTATTAAATGTTCATAAAAATTAATTTACAAATTACGAGGAGCATAGAATAGTTTCACCCATAAATATAAATATTCCGTGGGATAAGTACAATTCAATTAAAATTTAATACAGTCCCATGCCAAAATTTACAATAAATCAAGTCAATTTTAAATAATATTACAATATTTAATTAAAACTTCATGTCCAGTCAGACTTTGTAAATATTTATAAATCTACAATAAAGAAAAATAAGTAAGTAATATGGGACAAGTGTAATTATCCTGACACCAATTCTAACCCAAAAAAAGTAAGTATAAAATATACACATTTTCACATATTAAAAAAAATTACCTATAAATAGATGGTTCAATTTTTAAAACTTCAAAAAAAAAGGAGGTACTCAATTCGTCGGAATATTTTTTTTATGTATGTTCAGCGATAATTATTTAACACGTCTGATTTCAATGATTCTTTTTTTTTTATTAAGAGGTTACCTCTTATATAAATTTGGTAATTATTATAAACTTTTATGAAAACGAAATTTTGTGTAAAAATATATATTTCATTAACGTAAAAGCAATTATAAAAACATAATGCACTATCAAATATTTTTTGATATCAAAAATATACCTAATTTTATATTAAAAACTAAAATAAATTATTTAATTCTTCTTTAAGTCACAGGAAAGTAGTATCATTTACAACTTTATTAAAAAAATAATATTATTTTTGGCAGTGAATATACATCTTTGTTCAAAATTTGGTGGTAGTAGTAGAAGTATTTATTTTCTGTTTTTTCTCTTTAAATTTTCAAGTATAGCTTTTTGCAAAATCGGATGAAGATGGTTTCCTCTAGGTATAAAACCGTTTTCATCTGCTGTATACTCTACGTTGTACACTTTGTTATCGGCTCCTGTATACTGGTAAAATCCTTTCGTCCTTAAAGCTTCATCTTTGGTACCAAGGTTGAAGATTTTTGCATTTTCTTTCCCACTTATTTCGTTTTCTGTTTCATACCTACAACAAAATTGTATGTGGACATCGTAATTATTATTTACAATCACATAACATTATGTAGATTATGATGAAACTAAAAAATGAATACGTCAGAACATATCAACTTATTTTTATATATTTTCATTATCCATCGAATTATTACAGGACAATTTTGATTTACCTTGTATACTAATTTTCTTATTATTATCATCAGACTCATAAACCCTTTGGTGATTAATGACCTTTGGCGAAAAATGTAAAAGATTCTCACGATATCTATACATCTATTCAGAAATTAAAAAATGTATTCACGATTTATTTTACAATAATATTAAGTCATTGTTTTTCATTGTTTTTCTTTGTTTTTATTTAACCTTACATTTATATTTAAATGGGAAAATTTTTATGGTACAGTATCTGCCTTTAGTTTATTGTTTGGATCATTATTTGAAAATCAATAATTAAGGGTGGGTTATAAAGATGATGTTCAAGAATAAATTGAGACCAAGTCATGTAAAAAACCTTTTTCTACCTTAGGTTTAAACTACATCGTCATACTATGTCTATTTTTATGTATGAGAGAGTAATAAAACAGCATTAATATTTAATTGTTTTAAATCATTTACAGACAAACATTTATGTAAAAGTGTTGATGACACAGTGGAATTAGTCAGTAGTACGCTTGATGTTGGGAAATCTACGATTTACAGAGTTGTTAAAGAAGAGAAATGTGGCGAGTTTCAAACAGCACGTAAAGCTCCAGGAAAACCAAAATTTCAATTAGAAAATCTTTTGAAAGAAAGACTTCGAAGGAAAGTGCATGCGTTCTTCTTTAGAAAAGAATTTCCGATAGTAGACAAAGTTCTTGCCATGGTTCGAGATGATAAGGATTACCCTGAAATGAGTCGAAGCACACTATGGAAACTTTTAAAAGAAATAGGTTTTCTATGGAAAAAGCATTCCAGAAAGTCTATTTTAATAGAAAGAAGCGATATTGTAGTATGGAGAAGAAATTACCTAAGGACTATAAAAAAAATGAGAAACCAAAGAAGAAATATATTTTATTTAGTTGAAACGTATCAACGAGGGACATAAACCAAATAAATTTTGGCAAGATGAAACTGTTACAAGTCGAAGACAGGCTTTTTTAAATAATTTATCTACTGGTTTAAATCCACCATCAGGAAAGGGGAGCAGACTAATAATAGTACACATCGGTAGTTCAAACGGTTTTGTTAAAGGTGGTTTATTGACTTTTGAATCTACTTGTACCGGTGACTACCATGAGGACATGAATGCTGATGTTTTTAAAGAGTGGTTCGAACAAATTATAGATCTTCTTCCTCAGAACTGTATAATAGTAATGGATAATGCAAGTTATCACTTGAAACTTATAGAAAAAATGCCCACAACCAAGTGGTTAAAAAAAGATTTACAGAATTGGCTAAATTCAAAGAATATTAAGTTCCATCCCGGTTCTGTGAGAAAAGAACTGTATCATTTGTGTTCCCTTCATAAAGAGAAATTCAAAAAATATGAAATTGATGAAATTGCAAAAAATCGTGGGATGACGGTGGTTAGATCACCACCATATCATTGCGAAGTAAACCCGATTGAACTGATATGGGCACAGATAAAGGGAGAAGTTTCAAGAAAAAATAATTCTTTTAAAATGAGTGATGTTAAACAGTTGTTTTTGGAGGCTGTAAATAATGTGAAGCATGAAAACTGGGAAAAGGCAGTAAATCATACGATTAAAGAAGAAGAGAAAATGTGGAAGTTGGACAATATTACTGATGAAATGATCGAGCCACTCATTGTAAATATTGGTTGCGACAGTTCATCTTCTGATTTCGATTCTGATTTGGATTTGTAGGTAAAAAGTAGTTTTTATATTAAAAGTATTATTTATGAACGTAACGTTGTTTAAAAGTCAAAGTTTAAACCCTTATACCTACATAACCCGTTTGACACAATGTTCTTAACATACCTTGTGGAAAAATAAAACATTTTAGAAAAAATTGCACTTTTTTACCTTCAGCTGTTTAGAAGTTATAAGCAGGTTAATTAGGTGAAAATATAAGTGTATACTCGAGGAATATCGTCAAAAAATATTTTAACTGTCTACTAAAAGAAGTGATACGCCTATGGATTACGAACGCTTTATTATTTTAATACTCTCTCATACATAAAAATAGACTATACCTACCCGTTAAACATAAATTCCATATATATTTTGGTGTGAGGTTGTAATTCTAGAAGCCTTAAAAGCGTAATGACTAAAATTTCGTTATCCATTTCATTTTGGTTCTGATCATGGAATTATCACCAAAAAAGTTACGGGTAATATGGTGTGGTAGCCAAAGACTGGCCAAGTTGGAGACATTCGACAGCTCAACGATATTTGATTTCAACAGTGCTACAGTATTCGAGACATAAATAGCAAAAGAGATACTAAGTTATTAATGTAAATAAAAAACCAATTGACAAATATTCAGTCTGCTATGTTAAAAACACTCAAGTCCATACAGTTTCAGTCAAACGCCTGTAAAGGGGTAGTCCTATCAGCTTGGCAGACCATACAGAGTAAAGTTAGCCTGGGTATCAGGACATAATAGTAGTAAAGAGGCTGATAAGGAGCCTCAAAGGTTATTTTTGGCTCAAAACCCTTCTGTGGTGTCCGAATGACAGCTATCAGAACATGCATAAAGCAATGGATCTGAGGAATGATTGAATAATTCACCCAGGACAGTGATTTCATAAAATAAACATCGCCAAAACTCTTCGAGCATCTACTAAGCTGCAGCAAGAAAAATGCTAGTATTTAGTGCACTAGTAGACGTATTAACAGGGTATTGTAGGTTTAATAGACATATGTATAACATCGATCTCCAGTAAACGTATTGTGCTACTGTGAAGGTCTATGACGACTGAGATTCCTCACACTTGGAGAAAAAATATCAAGGATAATTACCTACACTGTATTAACTTACTAGAAAATATCAAACTAGACTATAAAAAATGATCATAAGATATCCACAATAGATCTGATAAGGAAGGGCTACATGGCCACGCTCACTAATTTAATCACGGCACCAAATTTATTTAAAATTAAATTATATGTATTTAAAATAAATCACTATCCACCTTTTTAAGATAACATAGTAATACACTTACTCCCAATTAAAACCGTCCTTATTAACATCACTGAACAGCTTTATGATTTTCCACCTATTATCATCGTATTTTCCAAATTTTACTGGTACCGTAGGTAAAGCATTTACAGTTGGTCGAACTTTTTGAATCTTAGGTTGGACGAATTGGTTTTTCACTGACGTAGCCGAAGCATAATTTCCTTTATTACTAAACTGGTTTTGATGTCTGTACTTATCTAAAAAAATATAAATGCAATAAAATTGAGAATGTAAAAATATCCATATCGCAAATTTGGTCAGTTTACTCAATTAATGAATCAAAATCATTACCACATCAAATTTTATTGTAATTTAAATACAGGTCCGTCTTGAAGGAGCCTGTTATAATTTATATAGACCGTTGTCTCATTCTTTGGGTCACTTTATAGTTATTACCGAATAATATACAGATAGTACACATTAAACTTAAATAGTACAGTTATTTAAATTTAGAAATTAAATTCATTGTTCACAGTATATTTGAGGAATATACTGAGTGATCAATGAATTTGATGGATTTGATAGGTAAATTAATCACGTCATTAATATTTATGAAGATTGCACTATGTTGAGGTGGTGAAGAAGTTTCTAAATAGGAAATTTGTAAATAAAAATCAGGATATCGGTAGATTTTTTTTTTAGTCATCGGAATCAACTGCTATAGTTATTAGCCTCTTGTTCTGTGTAGGCTTTGTTAATTCCAACAGTGAATGGTCGAGTGGTAAATCCTTCCTTCATTTTTTTTATTTTAAAATTATTGTCAAAATAAATATGATTTTTGTCAAGGAAAAAATGTTAAAAATGATTTGTATTGTTTAAAAAGGTTAAAAGTTGGAAGAATTGAATAAGATATTAAAAAAAAGGTAAACAGATTTTTTTATTAAAAGTTAAATATACAGGAGATCGATACCAGAGGAACCAGGAGCGGAGCAAAGTAGTTAGACGACCAAATGAAGTAGATAGATCAATCATATACCAGGTAGATTCCAGATGAAGAGCAGAGGAGACCACAGGAAAGCAGGAATGAATCGAGTCGCAGGAAAGAAAATATAGAAGAGAAAATATTAATGTTTTATTATTATAATGTTAGAGTCAGCGAATTAGGATATCGCCGCCACTGGGGTCGACAATACTACGTCTACCCGTTTCAGTGTTCAGGACCAAGAGAGAGCGCCGAGAGCAGGGACTTGACTTTCGACCAGTCGAACGCTATGAAGTGATAGGCAATATGCCGATAAAGACATTCTTTATTTTGTTCCTTAATTAATTACATTTTAAACATTGTTTACGAGATATTTAATAAAACGTTATAAAACCATGTTAACACGTGTTTTATGAAGTGGCTATACAGGATGTTATAGTATACAGGGTGATAAATCATTTTATAACAATAATTTTGAAGTTAATTCTTTTAACTTCTAACAATAAATTATAAATTTTGACTAACGAACTGCTCCTTTTAAGAGTCTTGAGTTTGAACAATACATTTTAAAATTATTGAACTGGGATTTCCATATTAATACATATAAGTCATGGAATGGCCAGATCTTTAGATAATCATCATCTATATTTTTTTAATTTAAAACGAAATCAGCAATCCATATTTTTCTATTCAATCTTGCCCTATTTAATGTCAAATCTATTTCAAATTACCTAACCCTCATATCAATACTAACACTATTAATTTGAATCTTACCATCTAGACCCTTATATTGTCCACTGTTATCTCCAGCATACCTCCCTGTACCGTCATCATAGTATGAACCACTATAATCAGGAACGTATTGCCCTGAATTATCTTCTATGTATTGACCTTCATCATCTGGGTGATATTGCCCGTCTTCGGAGTCCTGTTGATGCCGTTGAGCATTTGATAAGCCAATAAAGATAAGAAAACAATATGGAGCCTAAAAAATACCATTCAAAATAATTTATATGGACAGTGTCAAATTTTACGACGTAAAATAAAAAAGAAGAAAAACAAGAGAATCTCAAAGCAATATGTAACAAAATAATAGGGATCCAAATTCAAAATAAAAAAACGTAAGATATAAATTCTTATTTTTGGATAAACCGGTATAATTCAAATTATTTTTAATTTGTAATATTAATGGCCCTATAGGTATATCCTTTTATGAAAAATTTCAATGTTGAGATGTTTTCCCTACAGCGACGGACGCGTATAATATGCACTATACCCTGTATAGAGAAACTTTTTGCTTACATATAGGTAAACTTAACAAAATCATAACTTTTAGAGCCATTATTTATCTAAAGAGGATGAAACTTGTCAAAACGTCAGTTGCAAACAATTTTTTAATGACTTTAGAACGCACCTCTCTTAGTCCAGCTTCAAACGTGCTAATAAAGAAACAATAATTCGACAAACATTACATGAAACTCGATTAACCTTAAACAAGATTGTTATTATTCCTTATTTATTGTTTAAATTATTTCTAGAACTGTAATAAACATTTTAAATTACCATTTTACTTTGAAAATATTCTTACAATGCATCTTTAATTATCTGAAGATCAGAGATCAAAGGATTAAAGATCAGGTATGAGATGTGGCGGATTTCAAAGGATGTTTGTAACTTTTTCAAAATTTGTTGCATTTTATCAATGCATGTGCGTGAGAGGAAGTTGTTTTTATTGTCTTAAATAGTTTTCACACTTTAAAATCGTACTCAATTGTCTTTTAATCTTTTATTTTCTAATTACTTATGCAAGAATGTACCTATGATCAAGAAAAACAATATAACAAAAAAGAAGATGAAAACAAAAGCTGCAAAACTAAATTAACTAAACATTTAGAGAATAGGGGCTTAAAAATTGGATCCTTTTTTTTAGTAAAAATGTTAATACATATTTTGTAGGTAAAATAACAGAAATATCAAGTGACAATATTTTTAATGTTAGTTTTCTGTTAGATTTAAAAAAGGGTAAGAAGGTCTTTTTATGTTTTTGCTTACATCTTGGATGAAAATTATGTTCGCTTGTCTGATGTTTTAATATCCCAAGAATACTCAGAACATTACACTGGCCAATATGTTTTCAAGCTGTATGAAAATTTTTAAGGGTTCAATTTTTAATTTTTTTTTGTTTTGCTGCTGATTACAATTTTTTTATTTCCTATTTTTGTTACAAAGAAAATTAATGTTTAATTTAAGTTTTTTTTAAGCCTTTAGAAAGAAAGAAAAAATAGGAAAATTGTTTATTTCGTTTATTTTTCATATTTTTGTAATGAAAAATATAAATTATTAAAACAAAATGTGTTTTTTTTTTATTTAAAATAAAATTGAACGGGGTTTCATTAACACAAAATTTAGGTTATAAATAAAATTTTGGGATTTATGAAAGAAGAAGAGTACTTTTATACTGGCCTTTCATGGATCATAATGATGGTATAGGAATAAACCATTTCTGAAGCAAAAAAAAGTTTATGGATTCTAGGATATACCCATACAATGGAATTCGAAGTTTTTGTATGTTTTTCTGGCAAAGTTGCTCTCATTTTATGCAATCCACATGGCAATTTTCATGATAAATTAAAAGTTATTAGAAAAAAAATAATTTTTAGTTTGTAGCTTTAAAAAGTTATAGCTTGTATGCATTCCTGGAAGAAATTATAATTCTATCCATACATTAAATTCATTTTACATAGGTAGGCCTTTTCATAATTTCAAAATAGGCTTGAAAAAACATACTAGATGTTTAAACACGTGAAATTTACATTTATCAATTTACAAATAAAAAACGCTATTAATAATTGTGACCTAATATAATATAAAATACCAATATCAAGATTGTAGACATCATTTTCGAAATGTATGTTTATTATACCTACCTGCCCGTCTCATTTTTGTAATAATTGTCTAATAATTAATTATTATTCATTGTTTTTATTAAGTCCATTGAATTTAATGAGACTATCACGACTGACTCACCTGGAATGCATTTTACAAAGGTTGAACATCCTCATCCTACATATATGTAAAAATTATTGTGATTAAATTTAATCAACAGCTACTTGGGAAAGAAAATACATATTTATTAACATTAGGAAGAAGAATGTTTGAACCTTCTACCCGCAGGGTCACAGATAGTTAAAAATATGGAAGGAGTATTTAAATTACTCAAAAGTTACATTAATTTCTCAATTTGATGCTTGAAATTAACCGAAATTACTTCTATTAAAAATTATAGTACAATAAATTATATCTACTAGTAAAAATCTATTTAGATAGATGGCATCCACCTTTGGGGTTGTATAATGCTTTCAAAACAATTTAATAAGAAACACTGTTGATGATTGTATCTTGATACTTTTCATCTACCCCACATACAACATAAATATCAGACTAGAAGTAAAATTAAAAGAAGGCCAAACTTGTTTAGTTAATATGTCTGTAGCTTGGAGATCTTTTCTCTAATTATGCTGAAAGATATTTAATTTCCGTCCAGAAATTTATAAAATATATTATAGAATAAACTCTAAATATAAAAAAAACATATACATTTTCCTTATAATTTAAGTACTTTGGATCGCCCATGCCCATGCGCAACCCTAATTTTCCATATTTATTCTTTTTAGGGAGATATTTAACTCCTATGGTGTGTCCCAAATTCGAGTATCTATAGGGCGACACACCGAAAACTTCCCACCCTAAATATCTTTCTTCCCCGTCAATTTTATTTTCAAGGGAAACACTCGTGGCTCAACCTCCTAGGAGGGGTAGATGTTACCCTTAAAATCTTAAATGGGAAAGGGGGTCCTTTATTTATTAAAGGAAACTTGACTGACGATCTATACCTAAATATACTTGAAGAGACTATTGATCCTCTTATAACTCACGAGCTAGAAACTCAAACTCATGCAGAAGGTAATTTAGTTTTGCAGAAGTTACATTTCCAGCAGGACGGTGCTACAGCTCATTTTTTCTTCCCATCCAACAGTGGTTAAACGATAGATTCCCAGACAGTTGGATTGGCAGAAGGGGAGCAATTGAATGGCCCCCAAGATCACCTAATTTACCTAATATTGGTTTTAAAAATATATCTGGGAAACTAAAAGTAATAGGACTTAACACTTAGCACCAATGGAGTTGGAAAAAGTATGTAGGAGTTATCCAAAAATTTGAAAATGAAAAAAGGTGGACTTTTCTTAAGTCCAGATTTGTATATCTGATTTGAAATAGCAAGTAAAAACTTTAAAGCACATTTTAATCCTTCCATTAAATACAGTTTTTCACAAAATTAGGTATTACATAAAATAAATACAATTAAAACTAATTATATTATATTTAACACCATGTTACTCTTTTGCTGACCATCTTTTTATGTATACAAGTTAGCTTATATCGACTTATTGTCTATTTCAGAAACTGTGGTTAAATTTACCGTATATATTTTCATTACACCCTGTATAAGAATGTATTTTAATTAGTTTAAATAAATTTAAAAAAAATATTTAAAATTATGACCCAACTCATTTTGCGAGTGATCTACACAATGCCTTTATAAAAAAAAATCAATTTCAACAGAAAAATATTTTAAAATTATGAATAAATAATGATCTACACCTTTTCAATACTTACCCACTTTTTCATCATAGCGAACGTTTCACTGTGCCTCGCAAACAACTGTTTTAAGTCTCGTTGATCTATTGCTTAAATATGAATGCCGTACAGGGTTCGAGACTACTAGGGATGCGTTATCCTTTTTTGATATCTCATCAATGTCATTGTTTATTGAAATATCGAAATAGATCTTCCGTTTGGGTGCATTCATTCTTTTTTTGTTTGGAAAGATGCAAAGTGTGATAAGATCGCTGATTTTCGGCGAACAAAGCTATATTCGACCTTCAAATATTGATTGAGAGCAGAAGAAATAGGAATTTGTGTTTGAAAAGAAATTAATTGTTTTTTTTTTATTTCCTTTGCAGTATTTGTAACTACATGCTATACTGAAATGAAATATAAACAACTTTTGAATTGTTTGGCGTATATAGGGGGTGTTTATATTACAGTAAAATTACTATTTTTAATAATTCAAAATGACATTTGGAAAAATGTTTTATTATGGAAATAGGATCGAATTATACAGGGTTTTCGCGAGAAAATTTCGGATGGATTAAAATTAAAGTTGAAGTCTTGAATTTTTGGGATTTGAGACAGGGCATAGGGGATGTACATACACATACTTTTCATCTATGCGTAGCTTGAGTTTTCGTAGTGAAAAAATATTTTCTATTAAAATTTATTTATAAGCTAAAATAAACATTTTAAAAAGGTCAACAGTAATATTCTTCGACTTCTTTTATTATAAGAAGAAAATTAAAATTTGAAATAGCAGCACATAATTGAAAATGTTATCACACGTAGCGCTCCGGGGCGACCTAAAGATGATTGATGGTGTAATTTATGTTACAGGTACCTAAGGAAACTGATTTTGGGACCTTTATTTTTTTTTGTGTCATCGGCATCGACTGCTAAGGTCATTAGCCTCGTGTTCTGTGTAGGCTTTGTTACTGTTTCCCAGCGCCACTTTAGGAACAGCACTGTTAATTATAACCCAACCGTGAATAGTCTAGTGGGGGACCTTTATTACTTTACTTTTTATTAACGATTAATTTGAACGTTTTAAATCTATTGTTTTCCGATGATTTAAAAATGTTATGTAAAATTTTTATTTTAGTTTTTGCTCTTTGCAGGGTACCTTAGGTTGAACAATTTTTCTTTAATAAGACGCATATTTCCTGAAGAATAAAAAGTAAAGGATTTTTATACATTGTATTTAGACCAAAGCCATAATAACGCAGATAATTTTAATTTCTAGCTCATCATATCTGTAATTAATAAAAGAAAAATAAAACTGAAAAAGGTGGAACCATTTTTTTTCAGTAACTAATAAACTCTGACGCATCAATATTTGAATGAATTGGTTATAACTTATAGGAATGCATAAAGTTATATTACCTTCCTAAATATTTCTACAAAACATTATTGTTGTTTTCTATGTCACTTGTTATATAACAAGTTGTAAAAGTATTTTTGAAAAACAAAATTCAAAATCGTGTATTTGCCTTTGCAAATTATAGATTTGGTTATTTTCTTGTGGATCGCATAATCAGATCTTGACCAAATTTTAATGGGAACCTTTCTAAGGTACTCTCTTTCTAACAAAAAAAAAATAATAAAAATCAGATAATGTGGTAAGGAATTATCGTTGAACATCCATAAAAAAAATTGTCCCTTTTTTAGAGGCCGACTTTAAAATCTTGCAGATGCCATCACCACATTTTTACCAAATTTATATGGGACCACCCTTGAGGTAACTCCTTACTAAGAAAAAAAATCATAGAAAAAACAAGGTAGTAAAGAATTATCGATAAACTTACATAAAAAATGAAAAATTTGATGATTTTTTCATGGACCCAATTATTAGATTTTGACCAAATTTATATGGGACCACTCCTGAAGTACCCCCCTTCTAACAAAAAAGAATCATTAAAGAATTATCGCTGAATTATCGATAAAAAAATATTCCGACTAATTGAGAACCTCCTCATTTTTTTGAAATCGGTTAAAAATAGTCTAACCCTTAAATCGTATCTATTAATTCGTCTTTCGGCCTTACTTTCGCACTAAATCCAAGGTCTACGTTAATTGTACATCACGCAAAATCTATAAATTAAAATTTTGACATTTACCATGCTCTGACGATAATCCAATTGAGCTACATCGCGTTTCAAATACAATATGCAAATGTAGAGTAACGATTAAATGGAATCTTCGATTATATTTAAAAAAACAATTCCTTTAACGACCTTAGATATATATTATGAAGAATCTCCCAACCCATTTTAAGGTGTATTGACAAATATTCACAATTAATGAGCATTGATTTTTCTATCCGTGATATTTCTTATCTGTTTTATATATAAATATTTAACCTTGATTATACCTATTTAAGTAATTGCGGATGCTATTTGACAATCTTCCAGTAAACGAGTATTATTTAGGTAATTTTATGTAATTACAGGAGAGGTATGATACTTAGCCGACCAAATCTCGTCGATTCGCGCAAAAATATTTGGGTTTAGGTCTATAGATAAAAAATATTTGATCCCTTATTCCTTAAGCCTCCCATATCAATATCAATATTTGGTTCCTATAACATTAAGCCTATCTATACAAAAATATTTGGGCCAAGTGGAAACTGAATCTGAAAAACATCATGTCGATAATAGAAGTATAATCAAAACCAAAATAGTTTAGTTTAGCGCACAATAAGTAGTGGTCAAGAGTATCAAATGCTTTCGAAAAGTCTAATTGTGTTAATGCTGTAGTCAGCCCTACATCAAGGGATTTTATTTTGTGGTCACTGACATTTAATGAAAGGGTAGTTGTACTAAATCCCTTTTTGAAGCTAGACTGAGTATTACCAATAATACCATTTGTAAAAATATACACGTACACTTGCTAACTTTCAACAAATTTTAAGAAGTTTGGAAGAATACTTATAGGACGTAGATCGCTAAAATTTTCAGGATTTCGAATTTTAGGTAAGGATTTCACTAAAGCAAATTTCCAAATATCAGGAAAATAACCACGTTCTAAACAACAATTTAGAAAAGGTGCGATTTGATTTAGACAAAGTTGTAGCATTTTAGCAGATACACCATCACTACCAACTGCATTTGATTTGAGATTTATAACAATTTGTCTTATTTCGTCAACAGTAGCAAGACGAAAAGAAAAACGTATATCAGGTTTAAATTTAAATGAGTTATAATAATGAGTGGTTAATGGACAGGCATTTCTAGGGGTAAAAACCGATTAAAAATATTTGTTTATCTCAGTAGGATTTTTTAAAGACTTAGTAATTTCAGTTATAGCTTTATTTTTAACATTTAAAGAATTTATTGTTCTCCAAAATTGTTTAGAGCTACTGGATGTAAAATGGTGGGCGAGATACGCAGATTTTTCTTTTCTAATAGCCGAAATAACAGTATTTCGAATAACTTTATAGTAAATGAAGTCAGAGATGTGTTTAAACTTTTTATATTTACAAATTGCCTTATCTCTTATTTTCATCATATCATGTATTGTCGGAGTTAGCCAAGATGCAAAAGATTTTGTAATTCTAGATTCTACGTATGTTTATCAAATAAAAATAGAAGGTAGGTATTAAATAATTTTATCTTGTTTACAATATCATTTTCATATAATATATTTTAAAAAGGCATACTTAATAAGTTTTAGACATTCATATTAAAATTATTTTATCTAAATAACTAAAATAGTGATTGTGCAACATAAGTGAATATGATGACCATATCACACGAAGACAAAGTTTAATAGAAGGAGTGCGTACACTCCAGTTGTACAGTATATTTTTTCTACGATCCATTAACCAATGTCTAAAAAATTTTAAAAATAAATTTATAGATTCCATTTTAAAAATAATGTATTAATTATTTTATAAAATAATAATAATAATAATAATAATATAATTGTTGTGCTTCCATATTATATTCATTATGTCGTGTTTAAAACAAAATTTGTTGGAAATGTTCACATAACATTCGTGAGGTTGAGAATTTACTATACCACATTTATGTAGTTTAAAAGAAATCTCAGGCGTTTATTATTGATAAATTTAGTTGAAAATGTAAGTATCGTGCTTCTCAAAATCTAAAAAGGTCATTATAACACTTTATCTGCAGATGTTCCGCGTCAATAAAAAAATTATAATGTAAAAGTGAAGAAGCATATTTTCATCAGTATTATTACAGTGTAGATGATTGTATTATAATGTGCTATATTAGGCGTAATGGATTGAACATTATTTTAAATCTTCTTTGATTATTGAATATCCTTTTATAGCATGTAAAACAAAATAATTTTAAGCAAGTAAATGAGATTATCGAGCATATTCTCTAGGATAGTCCGACATTCTATTTATTAGAAAATACTTATTTTTTCATTTTTATCTACATTAGAACTGGACCAAATTGCACTATTATTTTAATTAATAAATTTGTCTATTATTAATTTAGTATTTGTTTTTAAAGATAAAGTACTATAATCAAAAACATACAAATCTCAAAATTTCATACCAATATGACGAACATAGTGTTACTACATGATTACTATTGAAACCATGTGTGATTTTATTTCAATTTTGAAATTAATGCAAAAATCTAATGAAGTAAAATCAAATAAAAAAATAAATTGGCAATATATTTGACTAGTTTCAAATCATAAAACAGTTAATATGGCTGTTTTTTGAATTTTATTTTTTTGTTTGTTTTTCATTAAATTTTTGCCCAGTTAGCAGAAAGTTAAATTTTAAAAAGCCCGCCAACGGCGGACATATTGAATTTAGTACCACTCCAACCTGATAGATGGCAGCATATCGCCTCAGAATTTTACCATTGAGTTTCCCATTTATTCCCATTACCCTAATCTATGACTGTAACATAATTTTTTGCTCCTACCACTCCTACTATTGCCGCGTTTGAGAATCCACATCGGATGCATCTGAGATGTTTATCACGTGATCGAGAATTAGATCTGAATGTAGATGTAATAAACAAACGCTCTAGACTTTATTTGGTCACGTGATAAAATGTCAATTACAAGTTAGAAGTTTATACTTTTTAAATTTGACTTTTGAGACTACAAATCAACCTAAATTTAAAATCTAAACAAAAATTAAACAAACTAATCACTTTTATATTCATGCTGGAATAAACAAAGGATAAATTGACAAACTTGGCTTCACAGAACATTTACTTTTCGGCATTGAACGAACATCTCATTCACATCTCATTTGAAATCGAGATGTAAAAAATGTAATCTGAACTGGTACATCTGGAATAAACAAACGCAGATGTAGATGTAGTAGATGTGTCCGATGTGGATAAAAAAACGCTCGAGATGTAAAAAATGCATCGGATGTGGATTTTCAAACGCGGAAAAATATTTTAAGTTCTGTTGGCAAGCCTCCAGTCTTGTTTATGTCTGCAGGTATTATATTAACTAAATTTAAATTATCTGTATTTCGTGTTGTGTCAGCTAACTGGTCATTACCTTAACTTGGGTGGTGTACCGCTAACGACAACAAAAATTATATCTTACCAATAGGGGATAAACTACAAATTACAACAGTTATAAATGCGAAAAACGAACTGAACATTTTTTAATAAATACTGTTGTTATATACATTTGTGAGGGTTAAAATAATTTAAAATTAAACGTCACAGGATAAAAACAATTGTTTTAAAATAAGGGTTTGTTGGATCAACATTAAATAAATTAACTGAATACATTTTTATGCTTTAAAAACATGTATACTCGACTGACCTCTCATGGTATTTTAAAGAGGATTTTGTTTCGTGAAATTTAGACGCATAATTTCCAATTTTCTCAAAAAATGCTCACTTCTTCTGGTATTACCCTTGAAACCAAATTACTGTTAGTTCCTATTCCCACTACTAGTTTGAAATAAGCTTTGATTTGGGGTACCATTACTGCCATTTAGTTAGTACTGCGATAAATCTGTAGAATGGTGTAGAATAACCTATAAACTTATTTACGTGGGAATTAAATGAGTCTCTATTAATATAAATACTCCTACGATAAATATACGATAAATTATAGCTGATGCTGATATATACATTTTTTATTAAATTTTTTGTAATGTATTAAATTTTTATGTAAATTTCAATTGATTTTATATCTTTACTGCCGTCAATATTATTGAAATGTGAATAATCGATATGGTTGTAAAGTTGTGAATTATACAATACTATTTTACAATTTCTTCTACATCTACTATTATAATAGAATTGCATAATGTGCATTAGGTTCAAAAAGAAAGTAAAATTTGAAACAACATGTTTCTAACTCATTTTTAATCATTATAGATACAATAACTGTAACAAAAAAGTTGTTGACAAAAGATTATTTATCCATTAACTCGAATATGGTTCGATTACTCAATAAAAATAAAATCACAAAATCGGTACTACATACAGGCAGAGCTGGGCCAGGTACTGATAAATTGTACTCGAATTACCAGTACCTTTCATAGTTAAAGAACGAATAAGGAGTATTTTACTGCATAAAGAGCCGGTTTTACATGGGAGGTATTTGGTGCTATAGAATCGGGCAGCATAACGTAAATTGATAAATAGGGCGGTGTGCAGGGAGAGTTAACACTACACGATGGTCATCACGATTTGATGCCATCAAAGCCCTAAGTAAGATGCAGTTGTGCTACAATTAAAAGATGTTTAATAAATATCTCAAAATAGAGAAAAAAAAAGTGTTGTGAGAGTTGAAGTTCATTTACCGAGAAATTAGAGCTTCTTGAAAATTACATTCTTTTAAAATTTTGGTTGGATATTTTACACCGAACAAATGATGTAAATAAGGCTCTTCATCAAGAGAATATGGATAAGTTCCACATCTTACCTTTTCTCTTCATTGGCTCATTACGTTCAATATCTAAGAAACGAGTTTGAAGCTAAAGGAATACCTTAAAAGCTAACGAAAAAAACATAGAACAACGAAGCGCTAAAAGAAAGAGACATTAGGGGGACCAAATTCAGAAGTTATATTGGATTCTAGAGAAAAAATAAGATCACAGATTTACTTTTCAATCCTTGACAATCTTCAAACAAAAGTTTTGGGGCATTAAAAACGCAATATTTAAATTTTTATTTTATTTTTACAGTACATATTACATTATGTACACTGGTATATCACATTTGTTTCCACTTACATTAAATTATTCTAAAAAACTACCTATTTTATTTCGTAATACAAAATTTAGCTCCCTTTGAAAGTATCGCGTTCTTAACAACAGTGCTATATTTGGGTAAATATCCATTTAGTGAATCAGCAGAATATTCTACAGTGTACAGTACGTTGTCAGGTCCTGTGTACGAATAGAAACCTTTTACTTCTATGTGTACTTTATCTGTACCCTTTCCTACTAATTGACCCATTTCCTCTCCAATGATTCCTTTCTCAGTCTCGTACCTAAAACAGAAATATAAATATAATTAAAAATATGAATCATTTAACGGGCCTAATGGGAATGGAACCTAGTGAAGCATAAATGATTTAGGGCAATCCACACTCTTTACCTTACAGATACTTATAAAGAGATGAAATATTTATTCGCTAGTCCTTTGATGTTCCAAAAAGAACCAAAGAGATCAAAATCTTAGGATGCTTCAGATTAAATGCTCCCGAAATATAGTTTTAAAAAATCATATAATGAAGGAGCAGAAGTAACTAATGGAAATAACACTGAGCAAAAAAATTATTAAAGACAAATTAAATGGAAAAACCATTATCATATAATCAGACAGTCAAGCAGCTTTATAAGAACTCAGTTGCAGATATAGTCTGCACTAAGCAGGAACACTCAAAACTGGTATGAGATTATTTGTAAGCCCTAGCAGAGGTAACCTTACCCTGGGTACCAAGTTGCAGAAGCCGCAATAAAGAGGTTGATTTGCTAGCCCTTGAAAGAGCCTCAAAGGTGTCACAAGACAGCCATCAGAATATGCACAAAGCAGTAAATGTTCTATAAACAGAAATGAAACAGTTCACCAGGACAGGGACCTGCCAAAGAAAAAAAAAAGGAGTGCAGGAGACGTTACTACGCACCTATTGTGCTAATATGAAATTCTATCAAGACTGATTTTTTTTCACTTGAAGAAGAAAGACCAAGGGTAATTTGCTATATTGGAAAACTACTACAAACAATACAAAGTACTCTAAACAATGATCAAAGTACTCTAACCAATGAACTAAAAATAGATCTAAAAAGGTCAAGGTGTCGCTACATGGCCCATATTCCTAACAAAATCTAATCTAGATTTAAGGATCTATGATTTATCTTTTATGCATCATCATTACGAACCGGCTGAAATGTATACTTTTACTTACATGTAATGATATCCATCATTAGTAAACTCTTCTGTTTGCCTGATATTACCAAAATGTTTTTCATCGAATTTCTCATTATGTTTACCATATTTAGATGAGAGTGCAGTTTGGATTTTTGAATGTATAAGCTGCATGTCTTTGATGTTAAAAGGTACTACATCAGCTCTCGGTTGAACAGTTTCAAAAACTTGATGAACTAATTGAACTCCAGGTTTAACTGATTCTCCTTCTGAATACGAATTGAAATAAGATTGTTGAGTTTGAACTGGTTTAAAGTTTTGAAAATTAACTGTTTTACCTGTAATATAATAATTTAAATTAATATACCTACATATTATTGTGATTATCATTATACATACTTTGGAAGGCAGATCCTCCAATTCCAGAAGCTAGAGGCGAAGAAATTGAATTAGGTCCAACAGATCCAGAATAAGAACTAATTTGGCTAAAGGATGATTTTCCTGATTGTTGACCAACTTTCTGATTACCAAAGACAGATGAGGAACTGGCGGGTTGACTAACTATTCCAGGGACTACATTTGGACTAGGAGAACCAGAATATGAACTAGTTTGAGTAAATGAAGATTTTCCTGAATATTGACCAGCACGTTGGCCTTCATTTCCAGAACTATATTTTCCATCATCTACTGATTTTTGATTGTAGTTTCCACTGTTATCTGGATGATACTGACCATCGTTTGAGAAGGAACCTCCAACAGTTTGTCCAACAACTTTCTGATTACCAAAGACAGAATATAAATCGGCGTGTTGGCTAACTTTTCCAGGGACTACATTTGGATTGGAAGAACCAGAATATGAACTAGTTTGAGTAAATGAAGATTTTCCTGAATATTGACCAGCATGTTGACCTTCATTTCCAGAACTATATTTACCAACATCTACGGATTTTTGATTGTAGTTTCCACTGTTACCTGCATGATACTGACCATCGTTTGTTGCACTCTGGTCGACCGACTTGTAAGAGGAGGAACCTCCAACGGTTTGTCCAACAACTTTGTGTCCAACAGTTTGTCCAATAACTTTCTGATTACCAAAGACAGATGAGGAACCGGCGGGTTGACTAACTTTTCCAGGGACTACATTTAGACTAGGTGTACCAGAATATGAACTAGTTTGAGAAAATGAAGATTTTCCTGAATATTGACCAGCGTGTTGGCCTTCATTTCCAGAACTATATCTGCCAACGTCTACGGATTTTTGATTGTAGTTTCCACTGTTATCTGGATGATACTGACCATCATTTGTTGCACTTTGGTCGACCGACTTGTAAGAGGAGGAACCTCCAACGGTTTGACCAACAACTTTCTGCCCAACAGTTTGTCCAACAACTTTCTGATTACCAAAGACAGATGAGGAACCGGCGGGTTGATTAACTTTTCCAGGGACTACACTTAGACTAGGTGTACCAGAATATGAACTAGTTTGAGTAAATGAAGATTTTCCTGAATATTGACCAGCATTTTGGCCTTCATTTCCAGAACTGTATTTGCCAACGTCTACGGATTTTTGATTGTAATTTCCACTGTTATCTGGATGATATTGACCATCATTTATTGCACTTTGGTCGACCGACTTGTAAGAGGAGGAACCTCCAACGGTTTGGCCAACAACTTTCTGCCCGACAGTTTGTCCAACAACTTTCTGATTACCAAAGACAGAAGAGAAACCAGCAGGTTGATTAACTTTTCCAGGGACTACATTTGGACTAGAAGCACCAGAATATGAACTAGTTTGAGTAAATGAAGATTTTCCTGAATATTGACCAGCATGTTGACCTTCATTTCCAGAACTATATTTACCAACATCTACGGATTTTTGATTGTAGTTTCCACTGTTATCTGCATGATACTGACCATCGTTTGTTGCGCTCTGGTCGACCGACTTGTAAGTGGAGGAACCTCCAACGGTTTGTCCAACAACTTTCTGCCCAACAGTTTGTCCAATAACTTTCTGATTACCAAAGATAGATGAGGAACCGGCGCGTTGACTAACTTTTCCAGGGACTACACTTAGACTAGGTGTACCAGAATATGAATTAGTTTGAGAAAATGAAGATTTTCCTGAATATTGACCAGGGTGTTGGCCTTCATTTCCAGAACTGTATTTGCCAACGTCTACGGATTTTTGATTGTAATTTCCACTGTTATCTGGATGATATTGACCATCATTTATTGCACTTTGGTCGACCGACTTGTAAGAGGAGGAACCTCCAACGGTTTGACCAACAACTTTCTGTCCGACAGTTTGTCCAACAACTTTCTGATTACCAAAGACAGAAGAGAAACCAGCAGGTTGATTAACTTTTCCAGGGACTACATTTGGACTAGAAGCACCAGAATATGAACTAGTTTGAGTAAATGAAGATTTTCCTGAATATTGACCAGCATGTTGACCTTCATTTCCAGAACTATATTTACCAACATCTACGGATTTTTGATTGTAGTTTCCACTGTTATCTGCATGATACTGACCATCGTTTGTTGCGCTCTGGTCGACCGACTTGTAAGAGGAGGAACCTCTAACGGTTTGTCCAACAACTTTCTGCCCAACAGTTTGTCCAATAACTTTCTGATTACCAAAGATAGATGAGGAACCGGCGGGTTGACTAACTTTTCCAGGGACTACACTTAGACTAGGTGTACCAGAATATGAACTAGTTTGAGAAAATGAAGATTTTCCTGAATATTGACCAGGGTGTTGGCCTTCATTTCCAGAACTGTATTTGCCAACGTCTACGGATTTTTGATTGTAATTTCCACTGTTATCTGGATGATATTGACCATCATTTATTGCACTTTGGTCGACCGACTTGTAAGAGGAGGAACCTCCAACGGTTTGACCAACAACTTTCTGCCCGACAGTTTGTCCAACAACTTTCTGATTACCAAAGACAGAAGAGAAACCAGCAGGTTGATTAACTTTACCAGGGACTACATTTGGACTAGAAGCACCAGAATATGAACTAGTTTGAGTAAATGAAGATTTTCCTGAATATTGACCAGCATGTTGACCTTCATTTCCAGAACTATATTTACCAACATCTACGGATTTTTGATTGTAGTTTCCACTGTTATCTGCATGATACTGACCATCGTTTGTTGCGCTCTGGTCGACCGACTTGTAAGAGGAGGAACCTCCAACGGTTTGTCCAACAACTTTCTGCCCAACAGTTTGTCCAATAACTTTCTGATTACCAAAGATAGATGAGGAACCGGCGGGTTGACTAACTTTTCCAGGGACTACACTTAGACTAGGTGTACCAGAATATGAACTAGTTTGAGAAAATGAAGATTTTCCTGAATATTGACCAGGGTGTTGGCCTTCATTTCCAGAACTGTATTTGCCAACGTCTACGGATTTTTGATTGTAATTTCCACTGTTATCTGGATGATATTGACCATCATTTATTGCACTTTGGTCGACCGACTTGTAAGAGGAGGAACCTCCAACGGTTTGACCAACAACTTTCTGCCCGACAGTTTGTCCAACAACTTTCTGATTACCAAAGACAGAAGAGAAACCAGCAGGTTGATTAACTTTACCAGGGACTACATTTGGACTAGAAGCACCAGAATATGAACTAGTTTGAGTAAATGAAGATTTTCCTGAATATTGACCAGCATGTTGACCTTCATTTCCAGAACTATATTTACCAACATCTACGGATTTTTGATTGTAGTTTCCACTGTTATCTGCATGATACTGACCATCGTTTGTTGCGCTCTGGTCGACCGACTTGTAAGAGGAGGAACCTCCAACGGTTTGTCCAACAACTTTCTGCCCAACAGTTTGTCCAATAACTTTCTGATTACCAAAGATAGATGAGGAACCGGCGGGTTGACTAACTTTTCCAGGGACTACACTTAGACTAGGTGTACCAGAATATGAACTAGTTTGAGAAAATGAAGATTTTCCTGAATATTGACCAGGGTGTTGGCCTTCATTTCCAGAACTATATTTGCCAACGTCTACGGATTTTTGATTGTAGTTTCCACTGTTATCTGGATGATACTGACCGTCATTTGTTGCACTTTGGTCGACCAACTTGTAAGAGGAGGAACCTCCAACGGTTTGGCCAACAATTTTCTGCCCAACAGTTTGTCCAACAACTTTCTGATTATCAAAGACAGAAGAGAAACCAGCAGGTTGATTAACTTTTCCAGGGACTATATTTGGACTAGAAGCACCAGAATATGAACTAGTTTGAGTAAATGAAGATTTTCCTGAATATTGACCAGCATGTTGACCTTTATTTCCAGAACTATATTTACCAACATCTACGGATTTTTGATTGTAGTTTCCATTGTTATCTGCATGATACTGACCATCGTTTGTTGCACTCTGGTCGACCGACTTGTAAGAGGAGGAACCTCCAACGATTTGTCCAACAACTTTCTGCCCAACAGTTTGTCCAATAACTTTCTGATTACCAAAGACAGATAAGGAACCGGCAGGTTGACTAACTTTTCCAGGGACTACATTTAGACTAGGTGAACCAGAATATGAACTAGTTTGAGTAAATGAAGATTTTCCTGAATATTGACCAGCGTGTTGGCCTTCATTTCCAGAACTATATTTTCCAACGTCTACGGATTTTTGATTGTAGTTTCCACTGTTATCTGGATGATACTGACCATCGTTTGTTGCACTCTGGTCGACCGACTTGTAAGAGGAGGAACCTCCAACGGCTTGACCAACAACTTTCTGCCCGACAGTTTGTCCAACAACTTTCTGATTACCAAAAACGGAAGATAAAACGGCGGGTTGATTAACTCTTCCAGGGACTACATTTGGACTAGGAGCACCAGAATATGAACTAGTTTGAGTAAATGAAGATTTTCCTGAACTAAATTTGCCAACATCTACGGATTTTTGATTGTAGTTTCCACTGTTATCTGGATGATACTGACCATCGTTTGTTGCACCATCCACATTTTGTCCTACAACTTTCTGATTACCAAAGACGGAAGAGGAACCGGCATGTTGATTAACTTTTCCAAATACTACATTTGATCCAGAATTACCAGAATATGAATTAGTTTGACCAAAGGATGATTTTCCTGATTGTTGACCTACATATTGACCTTCATTGCTAGAATAATATTTGCCGTCTACTGCTTTTTGATTGTAGTTTCCACTGTTATCTGGATGATATTGACCGTCATTTGCCTGCCCTTGTTTAACTGACTTGGAGAATGAAGGAGGTACAAGACTTTGTTCTACAACTTTTTGATTATCATAGACAAAAGAGGAATCTGCATTTTGGCCAACTTTTCCAGATACTACATTTGGACCAGAACTACCAGAATATGAACCAGTGTGACTGAACGACGATTTTCCTGAATATTGATTAACATATTGACCTTCATTGTCAGGCTTATATTTGCCATCATTTCCGTTGTAGTTTTCACTGTTACCAACTTGTCTGTAATCTCCATTATCTCCTAATTGCTTGTAATTGCCATTGTCCGGAACTTGCTGGTAATTGCCATTGTCGGGAACTTGCTTGTAGTTGCCAAGGTCCGGATTTTGCTCGTATGTACCTTTGTCCGGAACTTGCTTGTAGTTACCTTTGTCCGGAACTTGCTTGTAGGTACCTTTGTCCGGAACTTGCTTGTAATTACCTTTGTCCGGAACTTGCTTGTAGTTACCGTTGTCCGGAACTTGCTTGTAAGACCCAGCATCACTGTAAGGTATGTAAGGTACTAATTGATCAGGGGTGTGTCTATAGGGTTCCACGTTGCTACCAACATGTTTGTAAGGAAATAATTGATCAGGGGTGTGTCTATAGGGTTCCACATTGCTACCAATATGATTGTAAGGTTCTGCGTTAACATAGCTTCCTTTATAGTCTCCAGAGTTATCAGAATAATAATCTCCGCTGTTGTCTTCATGATATTGTCCATCGTCGTCTTCTGGGTTTGGATGGTACTGGCCGTCATCTCCATCGTTATTATAGGTATTATAGCTAGTCCTACTGAACTGTTGGGAGGGTATTACCTGAGCACCTATTCCTTGGTAAGATGATACTTGATATGGACCTCCTTGATAGGATCCAGATCTTGCTTGACCAGATGCTCCTTGAGATGGATAAAATGCAGATTTTTCTTGAGCAGTTACGTCGTTATTGTATGCAGAATTATAGCCGGTGTAATCACCGCTGTTGTCTTCGTGGTACTGTCCATCATCTTCTTCAGTAATGGCTTTCGTTACGCGCTTAGTGGATGCTATTGCCGAGGTTGCGACAGCAACGACGGTGAAGAGAACCTATGAATAATTTAAATGTTACAATATTGTTCCAGGATGTTGTAATTAAATTATAAATCATTAAGCATAAATCATAATTATTAATAAGTTCTTAAAGATCAAATAAAACAACGTATCGACCATTTATAAGGATAAATTTTAGTCATGTAATGAAGTTGAAGGAATGAACCCAATTATCTTCTTGAAAAGTGATCTGTTACTTGATCCTGAAAATAGTGCCTTCTCTTTGATTCCGTATGAATAATCTCTTATAGTTATTTTATTAAAAATTTATTCATAAAAATTATAATTGTTTTATGCCTATTTTAAATTTACGAATAATTATTATTAATATATTTTTAGTATTATGTCATTTTACAATTTAAAATAAAAAAATAATATACAAACTATTTTAGATCTGAATAATTAAGTAATATAAAAAATATGACTATTATATATTTATGATTTAATTTAATTCAGATATTTTAACTAATTCTATATTACAGCTTATAAATAATTCAGATGTAAAACTATCGAATAACAAAATTATGTTGTTTTCAACTAATTATGTTTTATAAAAGATTGTATTAATAAACATTTTTTTGTATTGAGTAACTATTACAATATACCTACCTAAATAATTTTATTATCCTCTTTACAATCTGTGAAGAGTATTATAGGTTTATTTTCAAGAAACCAAAATTTTTAATATTTTTAAAATTTTAGTACCAAATTCCTTTTCAAAAATGTTAAATAACTTTTAAAAATGATATCAACTTGAAAATTTCAGGAAAAATCAAGCACTAAGGGGATGAATCCTATTGATTTTGAAAAATCTAAATAAAAATGGGGGGTTAAGGGATGATGACATATTAAAAAAAAAATCCTAATTATTAGTAAAAATCAATTTAGAAAGGGTTCAAATTAAAAAAATCATAAACAAAAAACGAAAAGCGATATCAACATACAATTTTTAGTAAAAATCAAGCTCTATATGGGGATAACGTCTAATGATTCAAAAAAAAATCTGAAAAAAATGGAAGATTAAGAGGGGTTGAAATAAAAAAATCCTAATTAAAAAAGAAAAATGTTTAGCAAAAATTAAGCCTTATAAGGGAAAGAAGAATCTTTGATTTAAAAAAAAAATTAAATAAATTAGGGGTTGAAGGGGAGGAGTTAAAATTAAAAAAAAATAAAAAACGATAAGCGATATTAACATGAAATTTTTAGTAAAAATCAATCTTGTATAGGGAGATGAAAGCCTATTGATTCTGAAAAAATCTGAATAAAATGGGGGTCAAGGGGAGGTTGAAATATTTAAAAAAATAAAAACGAAAAGGAAATATCAAGCTATACATATAACAGGATAAAGTTTATTGATTTTAAAAAATTTGAATAAAATGAGGGGTTAAGGGGGGTTGAAATAAAAAATATTGAAATCAAAAACCAAAAGCGATATCTATAAGGTAATGAAGAATATTGAATCTGAAAAAAAATTTGAATAAATGAGAGGTTGAAATATTGAAAAAAAACTTAACTCACAAACAAAAAACGATATCAATATGAAATCTTCAAGAAAAATTAAGCTTTATTAGGAAATGAAGCCTATTGATTCTAAAGAAATTCTGACTGAAAATGAGGGTTAAGGGGTCATCTGTTAAACTGTGAGTAGTTTCTAGTTTATCGATAATTTCTAATAATAACATGGCAATGAATTTTTATTTAATAAAAATGATTGATTTTGAATTAAACAAGCACTAATTTTGTACACCTATTATGATTTTGGGTAAAATTATTCAAATAATCGCTGCAGTTACCAACTTATTAAAAGAAAATAGTAAATCCTGATATTTGATTGAAGATCATGATGAATTGTAACTGACAGTTCCCAAGATACTTTTTTTGGAGGAATACATTCTCTGGATAAATAACTCATACGATTTCAAGACTTGTGCTCCAGACTGTATATTTTTTCAGTATTTTTAGGTTAGTTTGATTTTAAATCGAATATCCATTGTTTTTTATCGAATTTCGAGTTGCTACTCAACAGACTATAGCTATAAATTAGAAATTATTATGCCCGCAATCTGATCACTTATTTTTCACTTATATTTGGGACTATTTTTACTTTATAACAATAATTAACTAGTATTTGATTGACAATATTTTGACTTACCAATACTTTCATTTTTGCACTAGCCCCGGTTCTTTCAGAATGACATAACTTTCAAGATCAAAGTTAGTTTTATTCTAAATGAAATTCATAATTTCTCTGTTCCCCACCTAATTTCAAAAATGTGAGTCAAAAACAAGAAATGAAATTTATTCAAATATTAACGATTCTGCCAAAGGCCAAAGTTGACAAAACAGATCCATTTGATGAAGATTTATAAGACAACAGGTTGGCATGGGCGTATCAACAATTTTCAAAATTATTGATCTCTGTAAATTTAAAAATATAGAATATAAAATGCCCCACATTTTAACTAAATGCCACGCTTTTAAAAACCAAAGTAATATATAAAGAAATGTTTGATCTTTTTTTTGAGAATCTTCTCAGAAAAAGGATAAAATATAAGTGGAGGACTTTTTTTAGATCTCCATAAAGAAAGGATCTTATTTTATAAAAATAGCTATTTTTTTAACCTGATCTTTGTCGTCATCTTTGTCGTCATCGTTGTCCCACTTTTCCCTTTCGTAAATCTGGCAACCCTTTCTTTCGATTTTACAAATAACACAACCAAACAATAATTTAATAATTAAAAAGTAAAAGGTTTGCATTTGTCATTTCATTTGACCAGGGCCGACAAGAGGGGGGCAGCCGGGAATAATTCCCGGGGCCCGGGCTCAAATGGGGACCCGGCAGCGATATAAGGGGGGCCTGGTAACCGTGGCGAGGATATTTTCTTTCAGAAGTTCGACACAAGACAAGAGGGGGAAGTTTTTGCGCTTGGGGACCTTTTAAAATTCAAGTAGAGGAGAAGTTTTTGTTTGAAACCCTTTTTTTTAGAGAATAAGTAAAGAGGAGGAGAAATTTTTATAAAATTGTCACGGGGCCCGATCTGGAGAATTGTCCTGGGGCCCGACCTGGCTCTCGGCGGCCCTGTTGACATTTCATACCTTTGATGACCACGTTTTTACTGTAGTCATGTTAAACTTGATCATTTCGAGACTATATTCAATATGACGTCATTGTTTTTGATTTATATCATATCATATTCAAAACCTTAATGTTTTATTTTAAATATAAAGCATTATTATTGTGTTTTGTAGTTCGTTTTTCAATAAAACCTGTTTTTTATCATCATTAAATTCGGAATTAGTTTTTTTTACATATAAGTAATACAACAGTTCTTTGTGTCCCAAGGTATGGAGCAGAGAGGACCTAATACATACAGTCAAACTTTTTAAAATAGAATCAATACCAAGTAAGATTTTGTACAGGTATATGCATCAGTCGATACCGCATAGGTGTAGCCCCAGTATCTTACATAGTGAAATTTTTATCAATAGTGATAAAGAGGTATGACGACTTTTGGCCTTAAGTGGTCCTTTGTGCCCCACTCTCCACTACTTCCCGTTTTATTAAAGTCGCAGTTCGTATTTAAATACAATCAAAATTGTCTTACAATGTAGTTAGAGTTTGTTTGGAAAGGTTCGTATGACGTCATGCCTTGTTTATGTGCGATGCACAAAATAAGGTGATTTTAAGCGGTCACATTGTTTCACGGATCTGTTGACCTCTCTTGTTAACTACAGGTATTTGCGGAAATCTCTCATGATCAATTAGCAGCGACAGAGAAGCGACCAACCAGAGCGCAATCGTGTACCAAAAAATAAGATATTGACACGTATGAGAATAATAAAAATATTAAAATTGAATTTATATTTTTACGTTATTTATGTCATTTTTAATGTTTTTTTATGAAATTTAATTAGGTGCACAAATGAACCAATAGAGAAACCGACCCTACCTTTTACAGTATTGTTACCATCAATTTGATTTGAAAAGCGTACGTCGAACAGTCCCCGAAATAGTTATTTTAAAAATATCTCCTTCATCAAAAGTTGCAGAATGATTTACGTCAATTTTATTGTTTACTTAACTGGTCAAAATAATTATGATAATATAATTGGTTGACAACAATTAAAAACGATTAGCGGGTAACACAGCAAGCAAGGCAATATATGCATTATTGCTAATTACAGTCGTATGTTAAACCTGAATTAAATTGTAAATTATTATATCTTCAAGGATACTAAATAAATCCTTGCACTTACTTTTTACCTTAGTTCTTATTCGAGATGTACCTTTATTGAATAAGTCATAATTTTCCAAACATGTTTGCGTTAAAAATAGCCTATATTGTTTTATAAATTGTAGATCAGTCTGTCCAGTTTTAATTTAGTGAGTTACGTTCATTTACAATGAAGGAAACAGTAATGGTTGTGATTGTTACATTAATGTTTAGTTATGTGCAATGTAATTCTGATAATGAAAGTGATAGCAAAATTTTGAAGTTTGTAAAGAACGATAGCGAGAATGGATATGATTTTGAGTAAGTTTTTATTTGTTGATTATGGAAAAATTCTAAATAATTTCCGGTCAAATGACGTTTTCAATGATGTGTCATATTTTGTACTTTCCCTATTTAAATTGTATGAATTAATGCGAATGAGGGGAGGGGAATGACGTATGACATTTAAGATTATGATAGAAAGGTATCCCAGTTGGAATAAAAATCTATTTTAAGTAATTTTTGATATTCTTTTTGATTAAAAACTAAATGACACCCTGTATATAATACTATTACTTTAATTATTTTAAATTGGTTTCTTTGTTTTTGTTTTTATTTTAGTCTGTTCTATTTTATATTTGTCAATAAATATTTTTTTCTTTTTTTGTATTTAAATATACAAAATGGAGTGGAGCGGAACTTTTAGTTTTTTAGATGTGCATTTTTTGTATTCGTATATTTTTTATGACGTTCATTCATTAGAAAATATTGCTATGTAACACATTATTATGAAATTTTGTAATCAATATTAAAATTTTAAATTAACCTATGTAACTTTTTTATTTACAGATGTATTCAAAAAGTATGCTCCTTCATAATCCTTCATAATGGGTACCTTATCCCCCTATGTACTGTCTCATACTCCACCCAAAAATCCGGTTTTATTGACAGTAGATATGAATATTAAAAAAAAAAAAGATGATAAATTGAAGATCCGCGACTGCTTGAATATTATAGAATGTTGATTATAACATGTAGGCATTTCACGCATGAATCACCCTTTAATGTCATATACCTACCTATTTCTCAGATTCTGATAAATTGAAGGTTACAAATTGTCGAATTTTAAATGAATTTACATAAAAATTATGTATAATTCATTATAAGTTTTAGAAATGTTGAAATAACAAAATTCACAATATCTACCGATATAATCGGAAGTTTTTAATATTGGAAAACACGCTCTTCAACTATCCCATAGCTACCAGTTAAATTTCATTTTATTATAATAATTATTATTATAACAGTGCCCAGTTATTGAAAATTTTGAGCAGAGAAAAATGTACAAAAAACTACTCTTCATTTTGTAGAGAACGAACTTTCGAAAAAAAAAAATAAAATTTTTGATGTTTCGTCTGAGCAATTTTTGTACCTTTATATCTGCTTCGAAAATGTCTTAAATTTTTCTTTCAGAACACCCGAATTCGTTATTTAAATTTTGGTAAATGCCAATTATCACCGATAAGCGATTCTTTATTTTTTAAAAAATTATCTAGATTATCCGAAAATCAATTTTTTCAACTTTGCGACATGATTAAAAATGCCCTTTTTTACATCGCTGCCAATTCGCTCTGTGCGCGACAGTAGCGCCAATTTGATAAGAGCTATTTTGATTAGGCGCTATTTTGATTGGGCGTTATTTCGCTCAGAGCTATTTGGTTGGACGCTATTTTAACCGGCGTTATATCGTTCAGCGCTATTTTGATCAGGCGCTCAAATATAAGGCTATTTTGATAAGCGCTATTTTGATCAGTGCTATTTTGATTGGGCACTATTTCGTTCAGAGCTATTTGGTTGGAAGCTATTTTGTTCAGCGCTATTTTGATCAGATGCTTAAACATAACGCTATTTTGATATGTCCTGTTTTGATCAACGCTATTTCGTGACAGAGCCCTTTTATACTCCATAAAATCTTCATAAGTAATTTTCAAAAAGAAGAAATAAGTAATTCGAAGCAATGAAGCTGTATCTAAAATATTTTTTTCGGATCGAGTGAACTCGAAAAAAGCTTTAAAAAAAACTCACTTCAACTGAGATACCGCTTTTTAGCTTCTACTTGTTATCATATTATGGATTGGTTTAATTTTTTGTCAACATCTACAGAGGATTTTTAGGGATTTTTAAATTCTAAATATAGCTTTAGTAAGTTTTAGACATTCGTATAAAGAAAAGTATGAGAAACTACCAAGTTTTACATGTGTTTTTCATTCATATTAAAATAGATAACCTTGAGTGGAAATATATTATTGAAATAGTTAATTTTAAGTTTAAAATAGGCAAGTCATGGGATTTATTGTGATTTAAGTATGTCCAATTTTACAGACCACCATAATAAATAGCCATTTTTCAAACCATTGTGTATTAAATTGAGATTCCATTCTACTAAACACGATTTAGCAATTTTGTTAATAATTTTTTCAAGAAATAAATGCATCCAAACGCAATTAAAAATTAAATATGTGGAACATTTGGGTATTTAGCATTCTATCCTTATTCGTTAATAGGTTTCAGTTCATATATATATATAGAGTGAACCATAAAAATGTTTCTAAAGTGAGCCATGGAAAAAATTACGCATGTTAGAACTTACGATTATTTTTCTTTTTTAAATGATAGTTTGGATTTAATTTAGAGGAGATAAATAAAATATAGACCAGTAACGGTCTGTATTTGTTTGAAGCCACTATCTACCTTTCCTTCTTTTACCTTCTCTTTCTCCTGGGTCTTCGATGTGATTCATCTTTTTTAAATAGCAGTGGCAAAATTTAGTCAAAACTGTCAATAAGCAACCGATCTAGTCATTGACATCATTGATAAAATATAAGAAAAATAAAGATATTCGAAATAAAAATGGTTAATGACTAATCACCCATATACAGGGTGTTCAAATTAAATTGTTACAGCTACATACTGCCTTTTATAAAAAAAGTTTCAGACGAAAGTTTTATAGTTTTGCGGGGAAAAAAATTTGGCTAAAATCGTTTTTTATAGCTAACCATAAGATGACCAACTTTTTTTTTCGTTCAACAAAATTTTCAAGTAGTTATTTTTTATGTACTTTAAGAATATGTAAAAAAATTGGGATTCCCATTTAAAAAAAACAAAGTCCACCTCGATATGGCCATATTATGGTCAGCTATAAAAAAATTAATTTAGCCAAAATATTTCCCCCAAAAAACTATAAAACTTTTGTCTGAAACTTTTTTTCTAAAATGCATATTTGCGGCGTTATTTAACTGTAACACTTTAATTTGAACACTCGGTATATGATATTATGTTACCGGCATAACCGGAAGTTGTAAATAATAATAGTGTCCCTATAATGCACCTCGTTACTAATAAACTCCTGAAGTTTTGAAAACAAAAATTTTATCTGGGAAAGAAATCAGTTTTTGATTATTTTTTTGTTTTAGATTTCAAACTAGTAACGGAATAACACGAAAAGAAACCGCCATTTGGAAACCAACAACCCACGACGAATCCGTACTGACCGTACAAGGCGAATTTTCGTTTAATTTTCCTGATGGATCTCCGGTTTTTGTAACATTTACAGCAGATGAAAATGGCTACAGACCCAAAGTTCAAATAGGTACACGTACAGGCGTTGTTAAAGATGGAACCACGGTACCGCCAAAAATGTTCCAGCTGGGCAATAGGTATAATTTTGATGCAAGAAAAGAGGTCAGTACATCTGCTATTGCATCTATAGCTGGAGGTGGTATCGGAAAGTAGAAAAGAAGCATTTTGTAATAATATGTGGAATAAATACGTAGAGAAATATTTAGCAAATAAAAAACTTTTATTTTATTTTATGTTCTCAAAAATCCCAGGCTCTATTCGATAAGAACTTACTTGATTTTACTTATATAGTGTGGAAACCACTTATAGTGTTATTTTATGAAATAGTAGAACATGCTTAAACATAACAATTTTTAATTTATATAACAAAAAATATTGCTTTCCCTTTAAGCCATTCCACGTGTCAGCCATCCCTTCATTTTTTTTTAATAACAAGATGGGTCAGTAATATGTCTGTTCATTGCGTTAATTTTTATTTAAGCGCCCTCTAGCGAAATAAACAAAAATTACTTTAAATTAAAATTAACATATTTTGATTTGTTACAGGTGAAATATGAAGATATTTAGGTTAATGTTATGTGAATTTCCCATAAAATTACCTTTTTAATAATGTGCCGTATCATAAAAAATTGAGGGGATGGCTGTCATGTCGAGAGGGGTAAAGAAGAGGCAGAATTTTTATGTCATAAAATGCATTGATTAAAATAAAAATTATTTTATACCATTAGTTGTTTCCACACTATATATGCCGTTCAGTTTGTTTTAAAATCCAGAGTGGCTATATAAAATAAGTCTGTGAATGTTTTTTCTAAAAATGTAGTCAGAAAATTATTTATTTTTATCCTGTTTGCTATAGACTAAAGTGAGTTGTGTATTATATTCAATACTGTACATCTCTCTAACTGAAAAATATCTTTATGCCGAATTTATAATATTTTCTTGATCTATATCTGGCTGATCATTTTTATTACTATTTAGAATGATATTTGATTTTCATAGCTACCCTAGATTAAAAAGGAAACTATACAGTTTATCCTCACAGTTCGTCCTTGTAAAACTTTATGTTGGAATTTTTTCTTTTTCAAAATTATTGTTCATACTCTATTTTTTATTTCATAATACTTATTCTATTTAATTATTTGCTTTTGAACTCACGCGGCTTGTATATGAGACTGAATATTAGCTAAATAAATATATATTTCATGTATATAAGTTGTTTTTTTACTGGTTAATATCCCCGTAAAAGTATGTGAATCGCCATGTATAAAAAAACTTTAAATATACAGTCTTTCCCTAAAGCAAGAAATACTTCTTCTTAGTTTGGTTCTTTAAAAACCTTCAAACTGGTTTTAATCGCTTAATTAATGAAAAGTAAATGCTTCCATCACGTTTGGTTGGTTCAAGGAAAATACATAAAAATATGAAATCCTTCATTGGGCCTTGCATATTATAAACATTTTATTGAATTTTGTTTGTTACTGTTACTGTTGCTGTTACTGCTTACCTATACGGTTAATATAATTTTAGTTTTCAAATAAGTGGTTTCAAAATTGGAGTTGATAATAAGGCAACAGAATGGTTCTGAAATTTAAAATCGCGTTGATTTTCTCATCAGTGTTTATTTGTGTACATTGTAAACCTCCTAGTGAAATAGGACCTTTAACGTATAAAAACAACCTTAGGGATGATGGATACGATTTTTTGTAAGTTAAAAGTTTTTATTTATTAATTTGTTATTAAAACCTATGACATGTATGACGTGTGGTTATTAATTTGTTAGAGATATAAAAACACGCATTTTTATTTTTTCTAATGACTATAAAATTTCAAGGTTTTCTTTCTACGATATTTTTAAAATCTTTAACATATTTAATTATTGGAAAAGTTAAATATGCGAATATATAAACACGAGTTCAAATTATTCGTTCTAAAATTAGAATTGAATGAAATTTTCTCTTAATTTTTACTTTCCTATCTGTATACAGATATAAGTATAGGAATCATGATTTTTTTCGACCTCGAGTTTTCGATGAATTTTTACGTTTTGAGATCCCCTGAATCCGTTTTGACTATTTTCGCGATGATGTCTGCATGTGTGTGTTTATGTGTGTGTCTGTGTGTCGCATAACTCATGAACCGATACAAGGAAAAACACCAAATTTTAAACTTAAGCTTTGTTCCAGCGGCCAATGAGCTGATTAGATTTTGGGCAGAGTCGGAACATCTGGGGGGGGGTACTTAATAGGTGGTCATTTTTATATTTTATGGAATATATCTGTTATTTACGTTTGGGGAAGAAAATTCTTCAAATAAAAGTTACTTCTTATATTATTATCTATAATTTTTGTTTTATACAAAATTTTCCTAAAATGGTCCGTATTCGAGAAATTTGACAAAATGTAAAAATATATTTTTTTATAAAAATTGTTTGTAATATAATTTTCTATAATTTTTATGCTATACATAATTTCTCTAAAATGGACCGTATTCGAGATATTTGAGAAAATGTAAATTTCGAAATTTAAAGAAAACTCAAAAACGGATCAAGAAAAAAAAATTAAATTTTACACTTAAGTTTTATTTCGGCCTGACGTGAAATGATTAGATTTTGGTCAAAGTCGGAACATCTGGGGGGGGGGTACTTTATTAGAGGCCGTTTTTATATTTTATGGAATATATCTGTTATTTATGTTTGGAGAAAAAAATTGTTCAAATAAAAGTTACTTCTAATATTATTATCTATAATTTTTGCTTTATGTAAAAATTTCCTGAAATGGTCCGTATTCGAGAAATTTGACAAAATGTGCAAAATTCTGTTAGCGATATCGATCTCTATAATTTTTGTTCGTATATGATTTTTTAAAATGGACCGTAATGGAAAAATTGTAGGAAAAGTGCTAAATTTAAATTTTTCAGTATTTTCGTTTTCAATAAATATCTATAGAAAAATGTTTCGAGGTAGATGTATGTGGACAATGTATATATTTAGTTTATCCTCTAAACATTTATAGAGTTGCTGCAATAGGTTGTACAAAATAACCGGAAAAAGCCTGTAATAACTAGATAGGAAAGTCATGTGTTGGACACATCAGATTTTTTAATAATAAATGCTACTACATTTTCACAAAAAGTTCAAAGCTTTAACGGGAGCAAAAGGAAAAGCGATTTTAATTTACTTGATTCCCAGACAACACACCAAGTCCCAGAGATATCCACAGAATATATTTTGTGGATATCCAATATATCCACAGGATATCAGAAATATTCCGTGGAACTAATATGGATATCCAAATGTCCGTCTATATCCAGAATATAGAAGATATCCATGGATATTCAGCAAAATATCTAATGAGTATCTCCAGACAATACAAGAAATCCCAGATATATCCATAGAATATATTTTGTGGATATCCAACCAAATGTCCGTCGCCTATATCCCAGGATATAGGAATTCAGATAAATATTTTATAATTATTTTTAGTAGAGGTTCATAAGTAACCAATGGTTATTGAATAACGTCGAAAGAAAATAAAGGTAAAAAATATTCCCAACAATCTGCCTTTGATTTTGCCTACTAAGGAGAAAATCATCCTTATTAGGAATCTTCAGCAATAAATGGAACTTCTCGACTTCAGTCTCTAATGAAGTCTGTTTATGAAACAATGTCGATCAAACTCAATTACGGCGGGTTAAGCATGAGTAGATACGAAAGTGGTATCGCCATCTATACTTAGGAAGCAAAATCAAAAATTACATCTAGTAGATATCCACGATGGTTTGCGTCCGCGCTTAAACTTTGATATATTTATATTTATAGTGGATGTCCATGGGATATTGAATACACCTTAAAAAAAATTAATTTTAAATATCTCAACGGTACTATTAGCCACAATGGCGAGTACAATGGCGTAATTTTTTAATAATTTGCTATATAATTACAATTATTTATGGACATTTGCATGTCTATAAATTACATTTCATGGATATAAAATAGATATCCACCATGGACTGGACATTCAGTGGATATTGGGATGTTCAGTAGATATCCAAAGGATTTGGTGTGCTGTCTGGGTTCTCTTTTCTACAACTCATATTTTATAATACCTATATGAGTTTTTATATTCTGTTAGAATGCAGTTTATGTTATTTTAATAAACGTCTGCATAATTTTCGTATTTCTTATTTTAGTTCCTATAAAAATTATAGAATAGGAAGGCGATTTCGTTCAGCCAATAGGCGGCACATTTGTAATTCCGCCCCTGTATCTAATAAAAATTTTAGACAGTTTACCGTAAAAGGAAAGTACCATATCCTTAAAGTAAAATTTAGTGAGGGGGTATGATTAATAAGGTGAAATTTTATATAAAGTCTGAAAGTCTGAAATCTGATGTTCCATCAATTTTGTCCAACCCTGTATATTATTCTGGTAAATATAATCGCATTCAAATTATTTTTTTCAATTCACAAGATAACAAGAGAGCTACCTGCATGTTTTTCAGTTAATTACTTAAATAATATCAAAATTCTACTATACGGCAACCCGTAATACAAACCTCCATTCGTTGCACAGCAACCGTTTTGACAGTAATTTAAAAATTAATTTCGTTTATTATCATTTTATGTAATGATAACTGAAATAAATCTAGTTCATTAAGTAAGAAGTAAAATATTAAATTCTACAGAATTTTTTTTATTGAAGGTAAAAGAAAGAAAAATAACAAATTTAAATTGTAATAAAAAGGAACCCTCTGAAATTTTATACTTTTTTGATACAACTTGAACCTACAAAAGTTATATCTATACAAATACGATTTTTACATAGTTTAATGTTTAAATTCACATTAGTTAAAATAATTTCAAAAGTTAAATGAAAATTTAAAACTTTTTTAGGGTGGAAATCAGCGACAGTTGGTCCAGAGAAGAAAGCGCAACCATCGACGATTCCGGGAAGCTGGACATCGAAGGAAACTATTTTATACAATTTCCCGAGACCAATCAGTTCGTTTTCACGACTTATACAGGAGGTGCCAGTGGATTTTTATCCAAAGTAGCTTTTGGTATAAAAGTTGCAAAATCAGACAGAATTCCCAGTTCAGCAATAGCTTCACTAGCAGGAGGAGGACTGGGATAATGAGTTTGCTCAAAATGGGCTTTGTTTAAACATTTTTTACACCTTAATGACCTTTATTGTTTGGTTTTAAAATTAAACGTTATTGTCTAATAATTGTTAGTCCTTCTTGTAGTTATTTATATTGCAAAACATGAACATCTATAACATCCACGCCTAAACTTGCACATTACTAAAAGAAGTTCGAAAAGACCAGATTTTTCTTCACTTCTTCTACCATACAAAACCGGCACGGTTTTTTGTTTCCATAATCGTAAGATTGATCATAATCTCTCGTGATGCACAAACTACTATTAATAATTATGTATTAGTAAGTAATTAATTTTCAAGTCACAACAGTATTAGGTACCTACTATATACAGTGTCAGCTAATGCTAACTAACTCTAGTAGTAGTAGAAATGTGGGGCTATCAGGACACTACTTCCAAAGTCGCCGCTAGTTGGCGCCACCTGTCAGTGGTGGTCAATTTTGTATTTTAATATTAATTCCTAATATTTTGTACAGCTTACTAATTATTATACATACCTATAAATTCATATTAATTAATTAATTCTCTCTCTCTCTCGCGCGAATTAATTATTCATTCTTCTTCGTTTTCAAGTCTGCATAGGCCTCCTTAATTAAATACTGGTCCATAAATACTACAAAACGATTGGTTAAGGAAATCATTCAAAAAAGATGTAAGAATATTCTTGATTCAACAAAAGTATAAATACATAAACAACACTAAAAAACATTTAAAAACAAATGTTCGATTTTGAGATTATATCTAAATTTCTCAAAAATATATTGGATGGAAGATGGCCTTAATTCGTGAAATGCAATACTGGTTCCATCTATCAACAGATAGTCACACTATCGAGTTGCACATATTACTTGTAGAGGCCGAAACTTGATTTTAAAAGGCACTTTTCTCTCACGCTCGTGGAGGAACGATTATTACTCACGTTCAGGCCTCGCAACGAAATCGAGACAAGCGTAACAAAAAAGCTACAAAAAAGTTACAAAAAAGGAGTCGGGTCCGGGCTGGTGCCGCTACAAATATCCGCTAAGCTAGCGGATCCGCGCTTTTCTCAGGTTCAGTACAAGCTGCAAAAGGGAGACTAGCGTAACAAAAAGCTACAAAAAAGTTACGAAAAACCAGCTGGGTCTGAATCTGTGCCGCTACTATGGAATTTATGGAAATTCAAGCTAGCGGGTCCGCTGTTTTTTCGGACCTGGACTAAGCTACAAATTTGCAAATAGTGTAACAAAAAAGCTACAAAAAACCCGCCAGGTCTTGAATGGTGCCGCCACAGAGTGCCCGCTAGCTTGATATAGCTGAATAGGTAACTAGTAGCAACTACTACATTCTTCATTTGCTGAAAAAGTACCTACCTACTTATTTTGAATTTAATTTTTGCATGCAAATACAAAATGGCGTCTTTTCAGCTAAAAGTAACATGCTGCCATCTCTGGACAAGCATTGTAAACTTTCAAGACTCCTATTTCGCCTTTAATTTTTATAAACAATAACAAAAATCAGCTAAGAAGTACTAATCATCACTAAGTTAGTTTTAATGTTAAAATAAAAAAATACTTTATTAGTTTCACAATAATTTATTTTTTGTAATTTAATTTTTTTGAGAAATTGGACTAAAAACAGCGGCGTAGATCAATACAAAAATAATTGCCTCAAATTTTTTTTTAATTTCTATTACAGACCGATTTTTCTATTTATAAATATTTATAGAATATAAAAATATATAAGTATATTAAAAAAATAATAATCCAGATGAAATTAATAATAATTTTTTTTACTAAAAGTTTAAAATAAAAATTATATAACAATTAATAAAATATTAAGTAAATAAAATACACTTAATATGCTTAAGTGTATTGTGTATTGCATAGGCCATAGGGTGATCTAACCGGTTATCAGCGGGAAAATGTATATTGTTGTGTTAGTTTTCTGTGTATGTGTATATTATTTGTCCAGAGACATAAGTAATCAATGGTGTATTAATAATAGAAAGGAAAAAGGAAAATACCTTTTAAAAATAATTAAGAAATACCTAGTTAGGAAAAGCAGCTTTTTTCGAATATTGTCGGACACTGTTGAACCTTATTATGGAGAGATAGGTGATCGAAAAGGTCGTATTTATTGACCATCATATTACGTGTATTGGATGGTACCTACCTATGTTATGCTAGAAAAAAAAATATTTCTATGTCTAAGAGCGGAGATATTTCATTCTTATTAAATAATCGGAAAATTCCCTTTGGGGTTGATTGACGCCCTATTTGACCTTGCAAGTCGTTCTCTTTAACAGATTTCGAAAGAGGTATTTGTACCTACCCTGATTTAGTTTGATATTTTGTAATATTATTTAGAGTAATGAAAGCATAGCCTTTAAATATCAATGTGCATGTGACTATGTATATCGATATGAAATCCCTAATTATATTGATGAATTCCAATCAAAAAGGATTAGACTAAAATACGAGTATATTTCTTAAAACAATCAAATAAATTCAAAATAGTCGCTTATATGTGCATAAGACATTACCTAGTTTTGTCTGTAACTAATTTTTTAATGTAGGTGGAGGTACATGCATCGTAAACTCCATCATTTTAAATAATTTCAAAATAAGAAAGTAGGTTTACTTATAGATATTTGCCAATAATTTAATTACAGATTATTTAACTGCACCCAAATAATGAACGGCTTGAGGCACGTGCCTTGTGCTTGCTCTTCACAAATTTGCTTTTAATGAAAATTTTATTATCTCTTTTTTTAGAACCATGAGGAAAAGCACCAAAATATAAATTATAAAGATATATTTATATATATTTTGAGGTCTTTCTTGCTTATCATAACTTACTAGAACATACTTATGTTACCAGAGCATTTATTTATAAGGTTTTGTTATTGTGATGATATAATATGTTACCAAAGCATATTTAGCTACCTATATCTAGGCATGTATAAGCTTACTAGACCATACTATAATAAAAAAATAATAAAATTAAACGTCCAAAAATTTCTTAAAATTTAAATTTCGTTTAGAAATTCCCAAACTTAATTTAAATTTGATATATGACACAGTATGTGTGACGTCAGCAGAGTAATCACAATATTGTAACCAAGTATGTTGTAGTAAGCTTTTAAAGAAATGCTTTTAATGTGTGAAGAATGCTGTCATAATATATCATTACGCCAAAATTAGGAGAAGTGTTTGGAGGTTACAGGAGACAGGAGGGCTCTTTTAGTAGCAGATATATTTTATATTATTGAAATTGTATATATGGAACCTCTATCAGCATTCTTCACATATTTTTGACATTAAATTACTACTTATTATATTTGGATTTAACTATACCTGCCTTTTTCTTAAATATTTACAAGTCGTGTCTTACATACTAATTATACCTAACAGAAGAACAATTCCAGGGGTATCTCGTTACTCGTTTAAATAGGAATTCCTCAATTAAATTATCCAGATCTGATATTACTCTCTGTGTCACGGACACATGGTATGCCTAAGGTAAGATTTATTACCAGTGATTTTTCTTTGACCTTTCTAACGCATTGTCTTCTGGAATAAAATGTAGGTGGGTACCTATAATTTTAAATGAAGTGCTTAATGTATGTGATGCTTGCCGTAATAGAAACTTTCACTTCTGCTGAAATCTCTTCTTAAGGTTCCATGGTACCTACTAATTGCTATACTCCCATAATGATACTTTAATTATTCTAATAGGACGTAACGCAAACGATTAAAATTATATAGGTGATCAAAAAATACTGTTTATTTTATTGTCAATACTAAACAGTTGTTCAAGTTAAGACAATAATATTAGAGCAGAGTATATGATTATGATTTATTTGTTAACAATATTACAAGAACAGTTATTATGATAATAATAACATAAATTTCTAAAAATATAAGATACGCCTTAATTAAGGTATCGATATGGAATAAAATACCCAAAGCGTGTTTTTTGTTTAATTTTATTGTAGGTAATATTTTTACTTTAAATTGACCACAAATATTTATAAACCACACTTTTAAATAAAAATTAACACAGCGCATTGGTTACTAATAAACTAATTGAATTAATGACGTGTTAAAACTATCATTAGCCTTTTATTTTTTGTATTTTATTTTGTTGTTTTTATTTATATTTGTTTTGAAATATTAAAACCCTTTAAATTAAGCTCAGACATGAAATAATTTTAATTTATTATGTTTGTCTTCATGGAAAACAATCTTTTACCCAGTTTTTCATGAGATTTTTCATTCAAAGCTTCACGTAATTTAACAATTAATTGTATTTGATTGTGCTACCACGACTTACATGCACTACATATCTTCTTCACACTTGAATTGCGTCATGTGCGTTAAACTGCTTTAATCCTTTGATAATTTTCTACATGGCAAAAACAAATGATTGGCCACCTGGTTGTCAACGATTGGATTATTGATATAAATATTTCAGATATAACCTTTTTATTTTTATATACATCTGTTTTTTTTTCTACCCGTCAGTCAATTGCATAGGTCTTATATTCTTTTTCGAATCCATTACAGTGTTTTGAAATTCCAATTCATAATAGTTCCATTCCTTGAAAATTACAACTCGTGCTTTTTCTTCATTAGGACTGCCATTCGTAACATTTAAAAAATTGTCGATAATAATCGTACCACTTATTTTCTCATCCTTGATAATATATTTGAGAATTTTCTCATTTCATAACTGACACCTGACATTTTTAAATGTATTTTTTTTTGTTTAATACCATATTAACATAAATAAGTTTTCAAAGAAAAGAATCCCATTCCGCAATGTCTTTTTCAGATATAACGATGATATAATCACAGCTAATAAAAAGCTAAAAAATGTATGTATACAGTTTCCAATAATTCTTGGAGAATTAAAATGAGACGTTAGTGGTCAAGGTTTACGATAAGTGAAGGCCGAATAAATTTACTATAAGAAGAATGTATTACAAGACTTTCGTTGCCATTATTATGTTGATACTAGTTCTCTATGTTGACAATACCTACT